AACTTATAATTGTTCGTTGTGATTTCCAATCTCATAATCAGAAAATCATCTTTGAATCGTCGTAGAAAATCTGTTCATTAAAAAATGCATGGAAATCTATCGCTTAGACGTCTCAGAATTCATTTGAGCATCACCTGTTAGTAAAATCATTTGCTTTATTTATTTAAGCTTTCTAAAATTGGCTTAGCTTGTTTCCAATTTAAAAATTGCGTCTGCTTTAGTAAGAATCTCCACTTATATTTAAAAATGGTTGAAATTACTAACTCTAACATTCTAGAATCCGCTTAAATTTCCCGGAATCAAAATGTGGTATTGACTTCACTAAACGAACATTCCCTCAAAAAATCGCTGCAATCCGGCAAACAAACCCAGAATTAAGTTCACAGAAAATGTGTTCTTAGCAGTCACGATTATGCGCGAGCAAACGTATATCCTTGGCGGAAAAAATGTCTCGGTTTTCTTGGAGGGAAAAAGGGATTCTCTCAAAGGGAATATCGGGGTTGGCGACCAATTAGGGAAGGGATGGCGGCGGGGGAGGCGGTGCTCGTCGTGTTGCCGGGAAACGGCGATTGTAGGCTTGTAAGAATCCTAGCCCGCGTCGAGGGAGTTTCAGGGCATCGTCGTCGACGTCGTCGGCCTCGAAGAAAGAGAATAGAAAAGAGAGAGAGATCTTACGCACCCTTATTGATTCGACGGGTCTCGTTACGCGTGGCCCCTCTTTCTAAACGGTCCATTAATTAGCGAACCCACTGGCAACATGGCTACTCGACTCGCTCCCGTTTCCTTTCACCGAAAAATTTCCCATCTACCGTAGAGAGATTTTCACCGGTACACTGTCCGCTCCGCTCCGCTCGGCACGGCTCGGCTCGGCTCGGCCAGGTTCGCTCGATCGCAAGAAATAATAAAATTTTTCGCTGGGAACTTGAGGGGTCGCCGGCGGTTTTTAGAACTCCAAAAGTGGACCGTTGGCTAATCAGATTACGTAGTCGGCCGGCAACGTCGGTCACGCGTGTGAGCAATCATCGGACGCAACCCTAATTCGCGCCGCGTTTTTTCTACCCCCGAAGAGAATCTTCGGGGCACGCGCGACGGGCACTTTGCTGCGCGCATTAAAAATAAGTACATGCGGGCGCCGGGCTTCTTCTGCACCATCTTCTGCCGTAGTTCACTGGAATATCAGCTGGAAAAATTCTAGATCGAAACAGTGGTGTTAGATTTCACAGGAAATGCTTGCTTCCGCGACGTTTAGAAGCTGACTGTTTTATGATACGCTTTTAGAAGAACAAGTCAATTCATATTGCGGTAACTTTTCTGAAAGAGAGACGACGTTTCAATTCGACTTTGTATCTGTCTTCAAATAGTATACTGTAAATATTGCAATGGAAATTGTATAGTAAATTCTTCCCAATTGACCTTCAGCTTGTAAACAAAAATGGACTCATTGTTGTTGTACTTGTTGATAATCGGCAACTGCATAGACGAGCCTCAAGGCTAGAGAATAATCGTATCCCCTCTTCCCAAGTTGTACATTCTTGTTTACAAATTCAGGGACGATTGTGGAGAATTTACTGTACAATCTCCTACACAGTCGTAAACCGATTTCTTAGTCGTCTTGCATATAATACGTGCGTTCTATCTGGAATTACAGCTTCGAATAGCAACTTTGGCGCCACATACGCGTCTCGTTAATCAATAATTTCCTATTTTAACGTTAAAACTATCAGTGCCGACCAAACGACACGTTTCATATACTTTATATAGCAACTATTGAAACTAGAAGCTGTTTCAATGAAAAATGATGCAATAAATTTCTTTATTCAAGCACATTTTCTAACGAAGATTCGCACAGGAAATCTAAATAAATTCAATTTTTCATAGAAGATCATTCCAGTTGCTTTTAACGTTCGGTAGATTCAGCGTTGAAACTGTCAAAAACTAAAATCCACGACAAACTCGAATTTAAAAATTGCTTTTTGATCTGATCACTAGATCGTCATCTATGCAAACAGAAGCAAACTCGCTCGAAAAGTTTTCTAACAGGAGCCTCGCTTCTTGCGAGCGCACGATAACGCCGTTAACAATATCGAAGTAAATAAATGTACAGGTCAGCAGTATACTTTCGGAAAAATTCGCGATTCAGCTCGAGCCATCTAATTTAATGTGCAACGACACCGCGTAGCTCGACGTAGCGACGACGTCGTGCAGTGCGATCGAGTTTCTCGCGGTGCGGAGGTCTCGTTTGCCCCGAAACGGCCTTGGAGCCCGAGGACCCGGAAAATTCGCGCGGACGTCGCAGCAACCTCGTGCAGTTTTCGCGGTGTCGTTGGCCTCGAGTCGAGGAGAGGCGGTACACCGCGGTGACGTGGGTGGGAAGTCGAGGCTTATGAATGAACCGGCGCGTACGACGGTGTGAGTGAATGGAGGAGGATCGAGCGAGCTCTCACGTGTGAGAGCGGCGTGTGTAGGAGGCCGCCCGGGGAGGGACGAGAACCGGAGGAACGGGCGACGTACAAACGATCTGGAGAAAAAGAGACGGGAGAGACACCGTCGCGCCGGGAACGGCTTACAATTCGCACACGTACACCGGTGCACTCTCGCCCTCTCCGTGCGCCGACCGGTCGGGATTTGTTGCGAAACAGCCGCGTTGCATCGCGCACTTTCTTCCTAAACTCGGCGACTCGGCGACTCCTCTGTCTTATAATTGTGACACTCGAAAGTTTAGAAAACGGATTTTGAAATTCCCCCGATATTTTCCGATTAGGTGCAGAAAATCTGTCGTTATTTTTCTCTTGATCGAAAATCTCGTTGGTATGAGTGGACTATGAAAGCTAGTTGCGACGAGAGGATGATATTATTGATTTCTAGGATGGGAAGTCTAGTGTTGTAACTATACTGCGGATTTTATGCACATTTACGATCTAAATGTAGATTAAATAAATTAAAAAAGAAAAAGTATGAAACTGTGCCGAGATTAAAAGAATTCATGACTGTCTGTACATTATTAATTTAAGGAATTGCATGTTGAGGAGAACAATTTACACTAATATTTTTTGTAATTTTACTAACTAATTTTATAACTAACTTTCTGTACAGATTCAATAAAAAAGTATATCATGAATAACACGCTAAAATTATTGAACAAAGAATGAAATGCCATCTTCGTTTGTTGCAGTTTATGAAGGGAATTTTCATTTTGCATATCCGTCGTCTAGGTATAACTGACGAACGACTGTTTAAACATTATCTCCTCTTTGTTGGACAGATATCCTGTAAACTTGAAGCTGGTTTTTGCCAAGTTTGCGATGGTCTGCCGAAGATTAAACTAGCTGCCAGGAGATTGGGATATGAGAATAAGGCAGTTGAAACACGTTTTATCTGTGCCGCAGGACTCTCGGCCGGCCAGCTTCTCGAGATGAAGCAGGAATCAGAGAAACAGTCACCGTCTCTGAACAATAACGCATCGCAAGTGATGTTCCCGGGGATGGGCAACGCCGCGGCTGGACTGTCGATGCTAACTCCGCAACAGCTCTTGGCAGCGAGTCGAACGGCGGCATTAATGGCAGCGGGAATTCCTGTATCGTTGCACTCGACATTAACCGCCAATCCGTCGCTCTACAGACATCATCAGACACTTTTCGGTGGTTGGGCGCCACCAGCGGCATCATCGCCACCGTCTCCCATTAATCATTCACCTGGACCGGTGTCACCCGCTCTAAGTACCAAATCCAGCACCAGAAGAATCTCGGGCAACGGCAACAACAACAACAACAACAATAATAACAACAATGTAGTGAGCAGCAGTGCGGATAGAATGACCAAGAAAGGTCAGACTACCAAGAAGAAAACTACGAAGTCGAAAAGCGACGCTGCCCAACCGACGGTCGAGGGCTCGGATCCTCTGACTCCACCAGCGTCGGTCAGCCCTGAGGCTGGCAAAGACGGAAGGGACAAGGTGTTCACCTGTGGAGTATGCTCGAGATCGTTCGGATACAAACACGTGCTCCAAAATCATGAACGCACTCATACTGGAGAGAAACCGTTCGAGTGCCCTGAGTGTCACAAAAGGTGAGTTTGAGGACGTTTAGCATTTATATTGGGTTGGCAAGTAAGTAATTGCTGATTTGTTCAACGAAATAAAAATTTTTTTTTAGTTGGAACGAAGTTTAATCTGTAATGTATTTTCCATTTTGTTCGATGACCTTTTGCCATCTCTCTGACAACTTGAAAATTCCACGCTCGTAAAAAGGCTGATCCTTTTCGGCCAAAAACTGAGTTAAGTGAGATTTTACAGCGTCATCATCATTAAAAGTTTTACCACGAAGGGAGTTGTCCAGGGATCGAAATAAGTGGTAATCCGATGGCGCGAGATCAGGACTATATGATGGGTGTAACATCAATTCCCAACCAATATCCATGAATTTTTGCCGAGTGGACAAAGACGTGAGCGGCCTAGCATTGTCCTGCTGGAAAATGACACCTTTACGATTGACCAATTTTCCTTGACCGCTGCATCCAATTTGTCCAGTTGCTAACATTCACGGATAATAAAAAATAACATAATAATAATTTTATAATATAACATTTACGGATATCATAAAAATGGGAGTGAGAGAC